CCAACGTTCAAACAACCCCCTTTGAGGAAGTTCTTGGTGACAGTGGGAAGGAAAAACTCCCTTTTTTCCTGGAAGAAACTTCTAGCAGGACCAGGCTCAGGGGGGTGGCCATCTGCTGTGACCAGTTCAGGGTGATGAAAGTGTTAGTCAAACGAAAGTGTTAATGACTGTTTTTAATGAAGAGCTTAATAAAGCAAGAAATGGGTACTTCTCTATTTCAATTAACACAAATAAGCACAGCCTTGGAGCTCTTTTTAACACACTGGAGTGTTTAAATTCTGTAACCTTTAATCAGATTATGGTGTTGATTGAGAAAAGTCTTCACTTTCTACATTTTTTCAAGTCTAAAGTTAAATGACATAAAATTCTAAATAGCAGCTCTTCATTCTTTTATTGGTGTCCCTGGCTCCCAATCTTATTTAATGACAATCTCTGTGGATGAGCTTTTAAATACTGGTACAACTGAGTTGCTCCTCAAGCTTTGTCCATATGATTCCACAAAATTTCAGTTAAATGTCACTGCACCAAAATGCTCGGAATGAATAAAAAATATATGTAAGGGAAAACAAATAAAGGTGTAGGCTTTAACATCCATCCATCCATTTCTTCTGCTTATCTGGGGCCAGGTCACAGGAGCAGTAGCTGAATCAGAGAAGCCCAGAGCTCCTTCTCCCCAGTCACCTCCTCCAGCTTATCCGCTGAAACACTTATCCGTACACTTTGCTTTTAAGGTCCCGGTATACCCGCCCCAACTATTTTTTAAAAGATTTTTACTCCCGCAGAAACAATTTGGAAATCTGTGCCTTCCTACTTGGACCTTAGACACTGTTTTCAGGTTTGCTACAGTAGACTTTTCTTGAATTAGTTGTGCAGGTTTCTCTCTTATCATTTTGTCACCACTTTCTCCACTTGTGAGTCTGTTAGCTGGAGCGGTTTGGAGCAGAGTATGAAGTGGTGAGTACTGGGACCTCCGAGTCTGAGGCCTTTGGTCTCAACCGGGAAAGAGTGGACTGCACACTTTAAGTCAGGGACGAGTTGCTGCTCCAAGGGGGAAAGTTCAGGTATCTTGGAATCTTGTTCATGAGTGAGGGAAGAGGGGAGTGGGAGATCAACAAATGGATTTGGGCTACCACTGCAGTGATACAGATACTGTACCGGTCTGTCGTGATGAAGAGAGAGCTGAGTGTGAAAGTGAAGCTGCTGGTCAATCTTCGTCCTTACCCTCAACTATGGCCACAAACTTTGCATAGTGACTGAATGAAATTGTGAGTACAATTGTCAGAACCCTTAGACATAGAGTTAGGATTTCATCCATTCTATGTGGAGGAGTAAAGCCGTTGCTCCAAAGATTTCCAAAACAAATTAATCTCTAGAACAAAACATAACAACAGCATCATAAAAGATGTACATCCAGTCATCCATCTGTAATACTCATACTCAATGTATCACCTTCAAACTCCCAAAGCTAGTGAAGATGTGCACTGTTTGTCCTGTCAGACAATCAATGAGAGAGCTAAGTTCAGCCAAGTTCAGCTCTGGCAGTAAGCTAATTGATTGCACTGGTCTGCTTTTGAACTGCTGCTGGTAGTTCATTTGGGCCACTGTGCAGTAATAACTCACAATAGATTATATTTCATCATCACGTAGTGGCTCAGTTATACCCTTCAACTGAAAAATAAATCAAGTACCTGTAAACAATAAGGATTGGCTGTCTATTGTATTATGCTCACTAAAAACAACATGTGCTGAAGTTACATCATGTGCTAAAAACGTAGTTTTTCCTCTAACATCTTTTGCGGTGACTCAATCAGAAGTTTGTTAAAGTTGTGCTTTTTTTTTAAAAATCTGACAAGTTATAAACTTCATAGGTAAACATTTACAATTTACCAAGTTCTTGTAGTCTTGGTACTCTGGAGGCACTTTTCTCATATCAATATAAAACTTTCAGTTGCTTAGCATAAGTGGCCATTTTAACTTTGAACAGGATGACAGTTTTTCATTTATTAATTTTTTTTAATCCTGTGAGTTCTTGAGAGTGAGGACAAAACTTCATTTGGGGCCTCTGCACCTTCTACAACCCTCCCACCCCACCCCAATATCTGCTGCAGATGAGGAGATCAGCAGGGTGTGAAATGGCCATGGTGATTGCTCCGAGGCCATAGGGCCTCTAGCCCATTCACAGCCTGTCAACTCTCTAATAGAGCCAGAGGAGATTGGAGACAACCCCACAGTTACCAGTGCTACCCCACCATCATTATTGCCACCATGCTGTTAAAAGTATAATGCGTTTTAGATATGGAACGGATTTTCTACCAGTTTCCTACAGTATTTAAGAATTAAATAGATGTTCCTATTCTATTTTAAGTTTGATCTCAAGGGAGAAGGTGATTTAGTATGGTAGCCCTTCCTTTTAAAGTCGCCTTATTATTACGTACCAAGTAAAATATGGTCATTTATAGTGTAGAATAGAACAGATAGAAGTAAAAAATATCAGAGCTATACCAAGACAAGGGATAAGAGAAACCAAATAAAAATTATATTGTTTTAATTTTGGATTGGA